AAAGATAAATATGTCATCTACATACAAATACAACGACTCTTCTACCAGAATCATCAAACATTATATATACAATTTTGTCTCCTTGGTTTAATATAAACCACTTAGACAAAACCACACCATCAAACCACTAGACAAATCCATATTTGTCTAGCACTTCGTAAACGTCGAATAGAGAATTAGACAAATTAACCATTGAGTATGTGACCTACCCAAAGGCAATTTTCATTCTTCTATTTCTCCATTTTACGAATCATTCTCCTTCTTCCTCATCTTCGAATCATCCCTCTTCCAAGTTACCTTCCATATATGGAATACACCATGAGACTAGTACGAAGAACACCCATCTTCTACTGCCATCGATGAAATACCCATCATCGAAAATTCTCATAATTCCATAGACCGAAACTGGTTTCTTGTAAAGAGCGATTCGAGTCATCGTACCGGAAATTATTCTTTACGATTGTTGGGACTTTTAGGGACGAGGGTATACGTACGATAGACCGAGACCGGGTGACCAGGATTGTGATAGAGTCGTGAACAACGTTCACTTTCCGTAAAGAATATTTCCACCCTCAACAAGCCTAGCGTTACCGGAAATTTCTTCGTAGGATAAAATTATCACCACTTCAGGTTTCAGACTTAAGCACCTAAAGCATACATAGAACTTTCAGTAGGAAGAAGAATTGTTTTTTTTTTTTGGTGTGCCTTGCATTGTCCGCCATATTCTTTATTTATAGACATGAAACACTACATTCCGAAGCATTGTCTTGCTTCATGAATTCATGGTTGGGCGGTTAATTAACTGCCACCCCAAATGTTGTCATTATCGCAATAAAGCTAATCACCATTGTCAAACGTTGCATGGTTTACATGTAAAGCAAGGCAACCCTTTGATTAAATGGAACTTCCATTCAAATAAAACTACCAAGGGTAATTAACTGCCAGCAAAACAAACGTTGGCAGGCCATGAAACTCATGGTATCATGCAACTCAAGGAAAATGATTCAACCCGGACCAAACTGATTAGTTTAAATCAAAACCGGTTAAATCAAATTTCCAACAGAGTGAAGGGAGGAGGTAAGAAATGTTTGGTTTGTTATTAGGATTTACAATGAAGAAGTAATTCTATTTTAAAAATTAGAAAAAAGTCATAACGATAGCCTCATATATGAAATACCTATATCCGGCCAACTGGCCCGGCAAAATGCTAGTTCCAAGATAGATATTTCATCACCGCCCTCGCCCACGACTACCTCCCCTCCCCTCCGCTCCCCTTTTTTCTTTTTTCTATTGTTTCCAACAAGAGGTTCAACCATGATAATCGTACATTTTTCCATGAAATATGAATCCTATTATCATTTGAAGCACAAAATACAGATTACAGGGTTAAGAGGTATTATCTACACTTGGAGTTAATTGGGGTTGCAAGCTCCCAAATTTTGCAGTTGACTCACACACTGCAGTTGATTGCTTAAGAGTACTAGAGCTCCCTGCATTGATTTGTGAACCCAACACTAGTTTTGCAATGCTCACAGGTGCATTCCCAGTTGATATAGGAAATGCAATCATTCACTTCTCGCAACCATATCCAATCAATCACTTTGCACTAAGGAAGACACTTCACTTAACACAGCCTCTTGTATAACCGAAGTAGGGTATGACTTAATTGCATAAGCCAATGAAGAAATCAACTCTGCAATAGAAGCATGATCCACTGGTTCTAGATTAGAAAGAACAATATCATTTACCTTATGCACATTTGATAGAAATCAATTTCTAGAGTTCTATCGATTGGGTTGAGTGATTGGGGATTTAGGGGTTTGGAGATAGATTTGGGGATGAGATTGAGAATTTAGGGAAGAAGAAGAAAAGAATCAAAATCGTCCTAAGCCTTGGATTAGGGAAGAAGAGAAATTAGGAGAGAGCTTAGGGTTTGGGAGAATAATTCTTTCATTAACTTCTGCTTAATCTGACGAAAGATCCAAAATACATGTTTATAGATACAGACTGGAAAAACCTAATAAACTATCCTAACGTGACTCTAAGACTACTAACCATATCTAAATAAATTCTAACAAAAGTAATTATGATAATTATGATAGAACCTAGAAATTAGGTTTCTATCATCCCCTCCGCCTTGAGACCAACCTTGCCCTCAAGGTTGATAGACTCGACCCACTTCTCCATGTCGTTCGTGCAACCCACGCCCTGACTCCTCCGTCTCTTTCACTTCCTTTTCTTCCAATCATGCTTCAACTCTTCACTTGGCCTCCTTTCTTTGATCTTCTGTTGCAGATTCAACTCTTCGAATTTCACCTCTATGGGCCCACAGATTCGTTCTTTTTTAAGAACCCATCCTTAAGTACTAACTCGTCAAGGCCTTCATACCTTTTTCTTGGAGTTTGCTCGTTACCTTGCTCTATTAAGCTTCCAATCTCGTTTGGGCCAACCTTCTCACAAAGCCCAACTCCATCTTCCTTCCAATTGAGGTCTTGAATACCACAACTCATAAGTGGCCCAGTTATCTTCAAAAGATGTGACCCATGCTGGGAAGTGAAGTCCACTGCCACTGCTTTGCTTGGGCCGGACTCAAGGAATCGTGAACCCGGCCCGCCCAGTCGTTCCCATTCGCCCGCTCGTGCTAGACCACTCGACCTGCCGTTACAGCCCAAAACGGCTCGATCTACTTGGTCCGCCTATTGACTTGATCGGTCCACGGGATCAGGAAGGTGTGTGGTGCGTCCTATGGTTTGCAACTCATTGTTGGCGAGAAGAGAAGCAGTGCCGCCCTCCCACGACATCTCCCTCTCCGTCTCTCTCTCCTTCGGCTGCGACCATTCTCCCCGGAGGCAGGGATGCAGGATCGGTCCACCGTTCCAAATCCCCGACTTTTCGTCTGGATCCGACTTTTTTTGTCGGTTTGGGCTTTCCGTCTCCAGATTCATCAGCCCCACTGTTCTATTGGTTGGCGGTTCGCAGAAGGCAGAAGATTCAGCGCCGATCTCCTCCTTTGTCACCTTCGTCGGCAACTCTTCGACCTCTGGCTCCGGTAACTTCTCCTTCGGCGGCCTGTTATTCCGATACCTTCGAGGATTGCTCAATCCAACGAGAATCCTCTTCGGCTACACTGCTCTCTTGATTGACAGTTCGTAGGAAGTAGGAGAGACGTACCCGGTCTCCTTCTTCGGCTTCGGTAGCTCACTCTTCGGCGACAAACAAGCCAAAAAGCGGCGAAAAGACCCGCTCGCCTCCATCCTCAATCTTGTTTACTCACCGGTCGTCGTCTCAATTAGATCCTTTCCTTGCCGTCGCTCCAGTAGCCCAACTCGTTGCCCCACCTGCACACTCCCACGGTTCGTCGACTCTTACTTTTGCTTGGCGTCGCATCTGGCCGGTGGCTTGGCCAGCAGCTGCCACTTCTCCATTGACGAAGAACCATGGTGAATCTGGTCCACCTCTGCTCTGCGGTGATGATTGATGTTGACACGAGTTTCCGTCTTCTTCTCACACGACGTCACGACTTTGAGTCCTCGGTCGACACCAATCCTCCTTGTTACCTACTTCTTCTTTATCTCGATTTCCCTCAGCATTCGCTCCAAGTGGTCACGTTGGGAAATCAATGTCGCCTTAACACCTTCTGATCTGCCCGTGATGGTGCGATGCTTTGCCAACGCCGATTGACTTTTCCAACTCCAGGTCGATTACCCACTAAGCAGCGACGACCTTCCTTCAAAGGTCTAGTCCGTACTTAGCTTACAGATTCGTAGAGCGGGAGCGTGAGCGAAAAAGAGCGCGAGAGAGTCTAATCTTCGAGAATTATATTTTGAGAGCGCCGAAAGAGCGTCAATATTATAATAATTTAATTAATATTTATATAGTATTTAACAGGCAAACAAAACTTGAATAGGATGAAAAAGACAACTGGAATCAGTACTAATTTCATTCATACTCTCTAAGAAATGCACCAATAGTCAACGTGTGGGCTAACCATCATGCGTTGAGCCTTTCTGTTAAAATTGGTTCTATTCAAAACGGGATTTGATCGGTTAAGTTTGATCGGTTAACGTGTGGGCTATCCATCATGCGTTGGGCCTTTCTGTTAAAATTGGTTCTATTCAAAACGGGCTTTGATCGGTTAACTTTGATTCTTTTGTTTTTTCTTTTTTTTTCCTATTGTGGGCTCGGTATATGGACAGGCGAGGAATCAGGAAGGGAGTTCTCCTCCATTCATCTACTTCCTCTAATCTCTTCTTCTTCTTCTTCTTCTTCTTCTTCTTCTTCTTCTTCTTCTTCTTCTTCTTCTTCTTCTTCTTCTTCTTCTTCTTCTTCTTCTTCTTCTTCTTCTTCTTTGACTATACATATCAAAACCCCTAAAATTCACAACAATCCAATTTCAACACCAAGTTTCTGAGCAAGCCCAGTTATTTATCATCAGCTTCCCCAACTCATCTACCCATAACTGCTATATGCTTCTTCCCCTCAATCCCCAAAGGTTCGGGCTCTAACACAAAAAATCCCCTACATCAGTGACCCCATATCAAACCTCCTCTAATCATTCGTTCTTATCCAGCAACGAGGCTCCGATTTGGTGAATTTCACAATCACTAAAAAGACTTCAAATCTACTGTTTTGGTGAATCGCATGCAATGAGAAGCTCCTCAACAGCTTGTTCAAATCTTCAACACAAGCGCGATCTTGAGCCACTATTAATCGCTCTCCATTCTATAAAGTAATGGAGCATACATAAATCATTTGTCCTCAGTATCTATCCTCCAGATCTCTATCACATCTATCTCCAATGAAGGAAAAATTGTCGTCGAGAGTTTGGTACAGATTTGAATTGTTTTACTTTGTCTTACACAAGAACAAGAACGATCCAATTTTGTATATCAATGCTTTTGTTGTGCTTTAGAGTTCACGTGTCCTACTTTCAGAAGTTCAGGATTTCCTCCCTGAAATAGGTTCGCATTTTTTCTAGTATAATTCGCGCTCTGAAAGATTAAAATACGCAAATTTTATACGAAATTGTGCGACCTAAGTCCGTACTCGACTCCTTCTTTCTGAACTTCCAGCAGTCGATTGGAGGTCTCCATGGAATTAAGGTTGTTCTGGGAACAGTACCGTTGATGGATTTGTTCGGGATGCAGCGCTCCTCCCGGTGGCTGTTGATGGTTGCTAATGGCGGAATTGGCTTTGAAACCACCTCTCTGTCTGCAAATGTTGTGGGTGAGATTGGGATGACGACGCGGTTGGTGGTGGTGTTTTTGTCGCCCTAGCTGAGGTGGAGAAAGCCTTGTCAATGGTGCGTGGTTGCTCGGCGATGATGATGTTTGGGGTGGCATCGGCGTCGTCAACGCCAACTCCTTTTACTACTGGCATACTGTCGCCCGCAGCCTCCTCTGTGGTTGCCGCGTCGTCATCTGCAGACATCTCTATCGGCGTTGCACACCTACGAGCCTCTCTATTCCGCCGGTCAAGAGCTTGATGCAGCAGATCCTCCAATCGAAACCATTCCTGGTCAAAGAGCTTTGATGAGCTCATTCTCACTCAAGATTGAGATGCAGTCGTCCCTGGTTGGGAGTTGTGTAGAACTTGTTTTCGAAACTGGGCTCAGATTCTAAATGATAGAAACCTATTTCTAGGGTTATATCGATTGGGTTGGGTGATTGGAGATTTAGGGGTTTGGAGATAGAATTGGGGATGGGATTGAGAATTTAGGGAAGAAGAAGAAGAAAATAATAAGAATCGGCCTAAGCCTTGGATTAGGGAAGAAGAGAAATTAGGAGATAGCTTAGGGTTTGGGAGAATAATTCTTTCATTAACTTGTGCTTAATCTTACGAAAGACCCAAAATACATATTTATAGATAAAGACTGGAAAAACCTAATAAACTATCCTAATATGACTCTAAGACTACTAACCATATCTAAATAAATTCTAATAATAGTAATTATTATAGAACCCAGAAATTAGGTTTCTATCAACATTAGCCTTTCGAACCCAAACACAATCATGACCATACAAGCAACACTTAGCACAAACATGAGGTAGATTGCAATACTCAATTTCAACCTCACAAACATGATCCTCATCAGGGTATATATGAATAGAGGAGGGGAAGCCAAAATCCTCTCCACGATTTGTACAAGCTTTCATGAAACCCAATTGACCTCCTACCCTGTCCTAGGGCTTGGAATCGCTATTTTGATAAATTGTCAAACTGGTAACCGAGTCGTTAAACGACGGTATTGGTAAACAGATTGCCACAAAACCCTCTATTTATAGCCACTCAAATTGAATGAGTAGTAATGCAAGCTTAAATCAACTTAAGAAAACCATAAAGAAATCCAATATATCATAGTAAATAGAAATCCCTAGTTAACATAATCAAAAGCTTTCATAAGATCTATTTTGACAGTACATCTAGGAGTGATAGTCTTTCATTATCTCTAAGACTAATAGAATTATTACAAATAGCCCTTCCCTTTATAAAATCTGATTGAGATCTACTTATTATACTAGGAAGACTATAACAAGACGATTAGCTAGTGATAACACCCAAAATTGTGTTATTTAGGCCACATATTTAGGGTTATTTTGAGTCATTTCGTCGTCTCAATGGTTGATATGTCGTCAAATAAATCCCTAATTCATTCCTCAAAGAGAATATTGTCATATTATGGTGCTTTAGATGATATGAAGCTTTAGGTACGAAAAGGGGTCACAAGTGTAGGATTATGTGAAAAAATGATAGCTCACAGCAAAGAGCAAGGAGATCACGTCCGCGAAAAGAGGGCCTAAAGCCTAGCCCCAAGATCACGGCCCCAAGTGAAGAGATCACAACCGCAAAATCTTGAACCAAGGGCGCGAACTTCTGAAGCAGCCACCAATGAAGGACCAGAGAGTTATGATGGTCGATTCATGCCTCTCGTTGTCGATGCACGTGGTAATGATCGCAACCATGACATCCCATATCATGACAAAATGATGTCAGGCCGCAAAATCCCCATCCATTGAGGTGCAAAATGGCGACCTCTACTCTAAAGACCACAACCGTGATCTTTCCCTTTATGACCTTGAACTTTCCCGGTAGGCTGAACTCTATAAATAAAGGATCCATTCCCCTTCACAAGAGAGCTTAAAATCAGTTGGAAAAAATTTGGTTTAAGAGAAAAGTTAAAGAGAGAAGATGAAAGAGGGAGAAGAAGAGAAGAAGGAGGATTCACAAAACAAGGGAGTTGTCGCCCTACTCAAGTCTTCTTCTAATTCTTCCTATATATCTTCTTCCCCACTCTATGAGATAGTTCTCTAAGGTACCATAGGGGTCTAATCTCCAAACCTTAGAATTAGGTTTTTTAATTTAGATGGAATTTTGTTAGGATTTGCCTATGGAATTTGTTTGCTTAGTGATTATATGCTTCATCTAGTGATTATTCATAGGCTTGTCTCTCCAACTCTTTTCATAGTGGCCCACCACTTAGGAGTTCATGATCTAGAATGGTTTGAGCGCCTTAGCTAATTAGGAGTAGATGAATTATCTAGAGACCCGATTGGTGGACAAGGTAACCATCCCCTTTGGGAAGCCTTCCTAGGCAATGCTAGAGCAATGCGTGCGTGACGATCAACATGTAGATCTAGTGTACATATAGGTTGAACCTATTGGAAAGGTCTACAATGCATCTCTAGTATCGTGAACTTGATCGAGGTGACATTGGTTCAAGGAATCGGGCTAGGAGGGGGGCTAGTTGCATGCCCATTGAGCTAATCGCCACTTTAGTGATTCCCACACCTTATTTTTGGAAACCCAACATTATGAACCATTCTCATGATAGACCTAAGTCTAGGGTGAGGGCCCTACCCCGATGTACCTAATTTTTTCTTCGCTTTCTCTTATAGTACTTTCATGTTGAACTCCAAAACAATCCCAAACTGAATCACTAGATAAAAACAGTGTGAGAAGTAGCCTAGGGTATCGAAACCCGTGGACTACGACCTTTATCAGCCACTATATTAACAACGTTGTCTTTAGTTGAACTTGATCAAGAAGAGTTAGTTAATACAAGTCGTTAAATCAATTTAATAACTCGCACGGGTGTCATAGCAAAGTTTTGGCTCCATTGTCAGGGAACCTCGATAACTAGTTGAATAATAGAGTTGTTAGTTTACTCTTACTTTTTTGTTTATATATTTAGTAGTTTATCTTGTTTTGTTTTTTTTATCCCGCTTTGTAGGTCATGGGTGTTTGAGTTTTTGTTTTTAAGTTGATTTGTTTGTGAAGGAGAGACTCTCTTGATACGATACCTATTGATACGGAGCTTGAGAGAACCCTTCGAGGCCTTAGAAGAACAACAAGACTTCAAACTCAACTGATGGCAGACCAACAACTACCACCTCAACCTCAACCACAACCTCAAACTCGACCGAGGCCGAGGACGACGGGGTCATTCTCGAGTCAGAGTGTGGAAAATGTGAAATACAATATTCTTCACCCAGCTATCCCTCGAAAAAAATTATGAGATCAAATTGGTATGCTTTCTATCCTTCAAAATCCGGTTCAATTCATTGTGTTGATAAGTGAAGTCACACACACTCACATTAAAGCATTTTACGAGCTTACGGATGGTATCGATGTAACTGGAGTTCCTCAAGAGGTAATTCGACTAGGGCTTGTCCCTTTTATGTGATAAGTTCTTCACAAGATACATCCCACCTTTAAAGAGAACATTGATGAGAAGTGAAATCCAAATGTTCAGACAAGAGGAAGACGAGCCATTATTCGAAGCTTGGGAAAGATTCAATTCACTACTTCTCAAGTGTCTGCTCCATGGTATAGCCTATTGGCTACAAGAGGAGAGCTTCTGCAATGTATTAACTCCAAAACCCACCCCCCCCCCCCCCCCCCCCCCCCTTCAAAAGTCTCAAAAACACATTTAAATAGCTCCTTGAGGCCAAGTTACGGTCATAACCTTTGGGGCTCAGGTCGTAACCTCTGGAATGTGTTCTGTCATTTGTGGCTTGATTTACGACCAAAATGGCAAAGTTACGGGCTGGGAAAAGGTGCCTGGGCAATGATTCTGACATAATCTTTCCCACATGGGGCCTTGATAGGGAAGGTAATGTTCCTTTTCATCTTGGTTATGAGGGGAGAGATACCTTGATTTGAAAAATTACAAAGTGGTGCCATGTAGGCAAGTTTAAGTTGAGGCTCAAAAAATTTAGTCACAATGGAGTCCTTATATTTTCACATCTTTTCTATGAGTCCATTATTGCACACGTGAAGTGTCTAGACCTCCTTAGTTGACAAGTTCTTCAACCTAGAATGTGCATGGCACGAAGAAATGGAAGTAAAGTTTACCCGACTTTGATTATTCTCGAGGCACCATGGATGATTGACAGTGTATACCATTGTGATTGTCTTACAAGTTGTACTAGTTTGAGTAGGTTTGCTTGGGGACATGCTAACATTTAAGTGTGGGGGGTTTGATTCAGGCGTATTTCTACATGTTTTACCCCATCATATCTAGAGTGTTTAACTTGGTAATCGTCATTCCTTGACCTATTTTATGCAAGGTTGTGCTATTTTTGTCACATTTCAGATTCTAATACTTGTGGGAAGGTCAGGGAAAAGTTTCGGAATATTCGGAATTCAAAACGAGCCAAAAAGAGGAGTATGTGCAAGGATCACAGGTTGGGTATTAGGATCACGTCCTGAGAAGTGAAAATCACCAAAAAAACCGTGAAGTTTGCAATTATCCAGGAAGCTCCATATCGCTCACGGGCTTTTCAAGGATCACGCCCTCAAAATCTTCACTGAATCCTTCACAAATTGGGTCGAAAAAAGGCTACTCAAATTCCATTTTCTACAAAACTAGGGCATTGTTCTTCGACAACGGAATTAGGTTTTTTTTATTCAGGTATATCCAGACCAATTCATGGCTTCCATGAGCTTTGCCATGGTCCAAATAACTTTCTTCCCAGGCATTTATCTCAACTCATCGTCATCGTCATCGAATCTACGATTCTTCCTTTCCTACCACATTCAACTATCGAATTTTCAGAACCCAGAAAGTCCAATCCCGATTTGGGCATTTTCAGTTCGAGCATCGTTGGATCAATTGGGTCCATCCTACAGCTTCCTGGAACCTCACGTGTGTCGAAGCATTTTTAGACTCTCCAACCCATTCGGCCACTTGTTCTTCGTGTTCGAGCATTTTCTAGGGCAATTGAGCTCGAATTGGAGTCTGCAAACTGGGTGGATTCGAGCTAATCTTGTCTTTGGGGAAGCTCCCCTGAGCATCATGGAATGTTTCGATACCTGTGGCTAGGTTCGAATCGCCTTGGAGAAATCATCCAAATCACCCTCTCTCCCCCCTGCTCCGACGATGAACTACACGGTCATCGACGTCGAGGTGATCTCGTCCTCTTGTACCCAGGTAGCATGAACCTTCGGGCTACCAAATTGGTATCACAAGGTTCCTTGTAACTCGCTCCACTGGATTCCTCTTTTAATCGTCGTCGGCTAGCTTCCAATTTTCGCTTGTCTTCACGAACTTCCGCCGATGAAAAT